AAACAGACTGAGTGACAGGTTGGGGTGGGGGGGGGGGGGCAGAGGGGAAGTTAAAGTGAGAAAAACAAAGAGGTTTTTATCGTCGACAGAACTGCAGCGGGCCGAGAGGAGAGAGGCAGACGAGACAAACCGAAGTCTCACCTTTCAGGAAGAGCCTGCAGGGGTTCATGTGTTTGAGGTGTTRCCCAAACCTCCTGCAGCAGCTGCTGGCTCTGCAGAGCTCTGCGTGCTTTTCAGGTCTGGAGAAAATGACTTTCACACATGAAAACATATGCTTTTTTTTAGAAATCTTTACAGGGATTCAAGATAATGTCATGAAGACTGGACAAAAACATAACAAGTTCCCGACTGAGTCCAGGAATTTGTCTGTCTTTGCCAAATCTACCTAACCATAACCTACAGCTRTAATTTTCACACAGGAATAAAGGTGGAACAGACGAGGATTTGGTTCTTTGTGCTGCATCACTTCTCATAGTTCTTCTCATTCTGTTGCTTTATTTTATTGTTCTGCACACAAACAATCATTATTTTGTGTGGATTTAAAGCCAGTAAGGTCACWGACAAACTGCAGCTGTCTTTTGTTTCTGTCACAAAAAAACTTTTTAAATGGCTGTTTTTTAAATTTATTTATTTATTTTTTGACAGAGCAGCTAGTTTGTCTGCAGTTTGATTTATGTTCAYGCACAAGGCAGGGGCGGTTCTAGCTGCGGGGCCACAGGGGCATTGGCCCCATCTGAAATCTGACTGCCCCCCTGAAGTGCCCCTGTCCTGTCACTTATCAGTCCTTTGCCCAAGRGTGGCTGCAGTTCCATTTCCACACAGTAGGGGCGCCAATGAGTCAAATAGGAAAGTCCAGCATAAAGCAAGGTTACACAAGTGTATTTCAATTTAAGGTCGTATTCAGACCTGATAATTTGCTCCGCTTTAAACGAACCAGAGTTCGTGTCCAGTGTTGGTCCGGACCTTTTGTGCAGGTGTGAACACACTCATGCGAACTCTGGTGCGGATCAAACAACCGGACCGAGACCTGCTTTTTGAGGTGGTCTCGGTCCGCTTCCAAACGAACTCTGGTGCGGTTCACTTCAGTTCACTTTTGCTGTGAATACAGACCGGACTCTAACCGAACCAACTGCATTAAACATGCACCTTTTTGGACTTCACAGGCCACCGTTGCTGAGCTAAATAAACTGAAAACATACCTGTTTCGTCATCTCCTGTTAGCAGCTCTACTGCCAGCATGTAGTGGGTCAGAACACGCAGAGCACCTCGTCTCCTTTGGGTTGCGGGACACATTAACTGACGCCGCTCCAAATTTAGAATATCATCACGAAACCACCATTAAATTAGCTGCTTCTGACATTTTAAATGCTGTTGCAGTTGTACTATCAGCAAAAATGTGCGCATCAGAACCGCAGCATGCAGGACTTCCTTGTTTTCTTCTGGGTCTGTGGCTCAGTTCCGCCCCCGTCCTTTTTTTGTCCAATGGGAGCAATGATGGTCAGCCCCATGGCTTTGTTTACAAGTTATAGTTCATTTGCAAAAAAGCACAATGTGAATGCAAACTGCACCAAATGAAAAAAAAAGTCCATTTTTGGTCTGGACCAAACAATTGGACCAAAGGACTTTCCTGGTCTGAATACACCCTACATAATCCTGCAGAAAAAGTATTTTAACTGACGATGGCTGTATTTTCTCACATGTTGTGTGTTTGAGAGTATTTTATTTATGTACAGTAAAAATGCATGTAAAATTGATAAGGAGGATTTACTGTTTGAACTTTTACACATGACTGATTAAATTTATACACCGTACAAAAACTGTGGATTTGTGTGCAAGCATGTACTTTGCCCCTCTATGAATACTGTGGTCCCTTGATGGTCCCATACACTGAAAAATCCTAGATCCGCCACTGGCACAAGGAGCAAAAGATGGCCTGGATTTGATTTTACACCAGTAGCCAGCTGGGCTGCCAACTGGTTGGTGAAAGGATAGGTTTCCCAGTTTCTTCGCGTGTGGCAAAAACGTGCAGTCCTGTCGCTTGGATTTGAACGTGTTCAAAAAGTTGGTGCAACATTTATTTTTCTTTAGAGATGTGCAGAATCTCAAACCGTTTGAGACGTTTTACACTAGAGCTATATTTTTGAAACACTGGCTTCACAAAATAGTCGCTTGGTCCAGCGGCTGCTCGCCTGCTAAAGGGAGCACYTCACCCCCACTCTGGCTTCCCTCCACCTGGTGATTTTAGAGTTCATTTTAAGATGCTTTTATTTGTTTTTAAGAGTCCTGACCTGCTCAGTGCCTCAGGTCAGCCGATCAGCAGTTCCTACAGGTACTAAGGTCCAAACGTAGACTCAGAGGGGACAGAGCTTTTAGTGTTTCTGCTCCAAGATCTTCCWCTTCTTGTTAGACAATCCTATTCATTTT